TATAATAAACATCTTATTAACCGAGCTTAGTCGGTCTGTATGGGATAATCTTGACCTCGGTCTTGTGTAGAGATCTCACTGCGTTCGGTCTGTACTCACGACCTCGCTCAAGATTACCAAAGAATCTTTAAGTTTGATTTACGTCATTCTGCGACAGACAAACCTCGAGGGACTCGACTGATGTCAGACGCCCAAAATGACGCTGTAAAGGAGAACTCCCAAGTAACATTCTTCTGCACTGCTGAGAGTGTACCACCCCCAGAGCTTGAGTTGCGTTTTGATGACTCACCATTGGGTTTCTTCAACAATGGCAGGTTTACACTCAAACAACTCAACGCCTCTAATCAAGGAGCTTATGGATGTGTTCCACGCAACATTCTGGGGACTGGCCCGGAAGCAACTCTCCACCTGACCGTATTAGGCAAGTGCCTTGCCCATAATGACTGAACTTGTTGTAGTGAGTCGAGGCAAAGATTAGATCTCCTGGTTAGACTGGTGTCTTATGTTTCGCGTTCTTCTATTAGGACATTACTATTACCAAACTTGAAATCATTTATTCCGTTTATACATAAAGATAATATGCCCACCTTTAACATTAAAAATGATCTTTATCAATGTACCGTACATTTCTTGGCAATTACACCGAGAATAGGTGTGATGCTTTCCCAAGGAGCCAATCGTAAATGTTATTGGAGGGAGAAACCGAAAATGATTCTGTAAAGACACGAGGGTGGGAGTGACAACTTCATGTAGAAAAAATTCGTAGGGAGTTGTATTTTAGTTCGAGACAAAAAGACCAATCTCCTAATCTTAAGGCCATCGTACAACCGAATAGTATTAGAATAAATGAGGTACCAATCTAAACAGTACGTCTTGCTCACTCTGTGACGCACATGCCACTTTAATCACCACGCCCGCGTTACACTCTTGTACATTATTTTCTTAAGTTTAAGTCGAAGCGTGATTCCTGTCTTTACTTTGTACGTTCACAGTTTTGTGCGACCATTACGTGTAGTAGGCTGCACAAGAAGCAATAATGACGGGAACATGTTGTATTTCTTTGTAGTTCCTCCAAGCATTGATAAAGGACCAACTAATAAAACAGTGAATGAGTCTAGTGACCTGGAACTGTTCTGTAATGCGACTGGAAATCCTCCACCAAATATCACGTGGTCCAAAGTAGCGGTTCCTCCCGTACAACTCTCATTTGATGAAGTGTTAACAGTGAAGAATACCAACAAAACCGATTCTGGAGTTTATCAATGTAGAGCCAGTAATGGAATTGGGAGTGATGCGTTCGCTTCATCAGTNCAGCACTTGCTTTCCGAGAAAACCTCAAACCGTCCGTTGTACGCGGCCTACTTTAGTTAATTAGTTCCGTGTAAACAGCTTCTGTAATAACTGCGGTTAAGTTACGAAACCTCGGTAAGGAGTAACCGTAGTAAACCGCTCTCGTGAAAATACGGCATATTAGAAGATCGAACTTTGCCTGTTTCTTCAAAGAAAACAGCATTTACTTTGGGAACTGGAAATATTCTTATATCCCGAAAACGTTAAAACATCTGAAAAAAATTCTTAACTCGTCAACAGACAAACCTGAAGGAACTCGCCTGACATCAGACGCCCAAAATGATGCTGTCACTGAGAACTTCCAAGTAACATTCCACTGTACTGCTGATAGTGTACCTCCTCCAGAGCTTGAATTGCTGTTTGACAATTCATCATTGGGGTTCTTTATTAATAACAAGTTTTCTCTGGCAATTGTTAACGCCTCTAATCAAGGAACTTATAAATGTGTTCCACGCAACATTCTGGGAACTGGCCCTGCAGCAACCCTAAACCTGACAGTCCTTGGTAAGTATGGAGACGAACTTTACTGGAATATAAGTAATACGCCTCGAAACCATATGTGTTCTATAAATGACACTATTAGCCTTATCATCAACTTAAGATGTAAATCTTTTGGATTAAATTGGTCTAGGAAACGTGAGTGAATGTTCCCGGATCTAAAACTGTCTTTTTGCAGCTTTGATTTCAAGCACTTTCATCGCTATTGACTTACTGTTTTAACTGATCTCAAGAAACTATGAATAAGCATTAACTCGACCTGAAATTTATTAATTGTCACATAGGACCAAGTATGAGCAATTAGTTATCAGGATATTTGAGTTATCCCCAGTACCAAACCGTTTGCGGTTACGGAAATCTTCTGAAGCCGACTTACAAATACTGATAACATAAACAGCTGCTATGAAGCCATGATTGATCATCGCAATTATTCACAAAACTTAAGCAGTTGCGAGATCAAAGCCGGAAAAAAATTCAGGTTGAACGTGATTCGAACCCATGACGTCTGCGATACTGGTGCCGTGCTCTACCAACTGAGCTATCAACTCAACTGGGAGCTGGTCACTTTGTGGGCTGGTAACAGGCACATATTCCATTTTCAATTCATCCGTTAGAGTTTGCTCCAACACATAGTTATTGCAAGGGAAAGTTCCGCTGAATATTTAATCGGTCTAATCATATCTCTTTATGTTTCAGTTTCACCATCAATA